AGGGACCAGACTGTTGTTTTAATGCAGCGCCAGCGGGGAGGGCCTCAGCGCTGGGGAAGGTGACAGGTATTCCCAGACCATCTTGGGATCATGGAGGTGAAGGTGGGAGTGGATCTGAAGTAAGAAGTTAGCACAGGGGTGGGCAAACTTTTTGACTCGAGGGCCACAATGGGTTCTTAAACTGGACCGGAGGGCCGGAACAAAAGCATGGATGGAGTGTTTGTGTGAACTAATATAAATTCAAAGTAAACATCATTACATAAAAGGGTACGGTCTTTTTTTTTTTTAGTTTTATTCATTTCAAACGGGCCGGATCTGGCCCGCGGGCCATAGTTTGCCCACGGCTGAACTAGACCTTGGGGCTGCCACTAACTGTGGTCGCTCACTGCCTCCGTCCCCCCAAGAGATAAAGGGGCCCTCCCCACCTGCCAGCCTGAGCCATCCTGGCAGGAACGCCCACCGCAAACACGGAGACCGGCAGGGAAGCCTGCGCATGCTCAAGGGCAAGTCATCTTTGAGCCTCACTGTTAGATGGGCCCAGTGACACCTCTCAGAACTGCAGGGACAAAATGTGACCATGAGCTAAATGAGCCTGACAACCAGTAAGAGTGAGCACTCGTTCCACACTCCTTTCCTCCCCTGGGCCAGCCCACCCCGGAACTCACCATCTTCTGCAGTGTTGAGTTTGAGGCTCTTGCCCTTGAAACTCAGCTGTCCCCCGGCCACCTGGGTTTTGGCTAGCGTCTCTGCCAACTTGGCAATGTCTTCAGAGGCCATGCTGGACACACTGGTGGGCTCCCCCAGAAACCTGCAAACTGAGGTGACCAAAGTTTCATTAAGAGAGAGGAGGCTCTGGTCCAGAGAACATCACAGAGCTGCTTGTGCACATGAAATGCACTCACGAATCGTTTATAAGCAAGCTATGTTAGCAAATCAGTTCAAGTCATAAGTATACACAAGTGCTGTAGGATGTCACTGATGTGATTAGTTTTGTGTTTTAAATAAAATCTTTAAATGGTAGAAAACAATCCAATTTGGGAGAACGGTACTTTGTGATAAGATGGAGAATGGCTGAGTACTGTGTGCACCACATCAGGTTCACTGGTTAGCTGGTGGCAGACCACGGAGAAGCAACATCAAATTTATGGCAGCCATGCATTTTTCTTTTACACGATGACAAAGAATGCTATTTTACTGCCCTCTTCAGTGACGACAGGTGGCTGACATTACTATGCCCTATAAACATATATGTACTTTGTGTGTGGGAAAAACCCAAACAAATATACTTTATCTCTATTTTTAAAGTAATGATAGCTACAATGAACGAGAAGGTAACTGAGACCCATGTTATGGAGAGAATGTTTTCATATTTAATGTTTGTAATTATTTTCTTTTATTTTTTATGTTATTCTTTCTTTTTATTTAATGTATTGTGGTGACGCTGGTTAACAAAATGATACAGGTTTCAAAAAAAAATGATACAGGTTTCAGGTGCATAATTCTACAACACATCACCTGTACACTGTATTGTGTTCATCACCCCAAGTCAAGTTTCCTTCCATCACTTCTTATAAAGAGTCTGCCCCCCACCCCTCCTTGTAATTATTTTCATTATAATGTAATTTGTTCCTAAGCTAATGTTATTGTAAAACTCGAGTTTCTGTATAATTTTAAAACTGCACAAAACTGTACCTGAATACTTGGAACAGAATTTTATAACTTGTTTTAAAATCTTTCAAATGAAATCTTTAAATCAGTTCAACAAAAATTTTTTTGTTAAAAAATTTAAATGTGCCCTGGCTGGTATGCCCAATGGTTAGTGTCGTTGGCCCTCACACCGAAAGTTTGCAGGTTCGATTCCTGGTCAAGGCCATGTACCTGGGTTGCAGGTTTGATTCCTGGCCTCAGGCTCCCGTCTGGGCACATTCTTGGGGGCAACCAATCTATGTCTCTCACATTGATGTCTCTCTCTCTCTCTCTCTCTCTCTCCCCCCCCCCCACCCCTTCCTCACTAAAAAAAAAAAAAAAATCAATGGGAAAATACATTCCTATGTGAGGATTAACCAAAATAATAAAAAAAAAACAAATAAAAATGCTACATATAAAAGAGAGGGAGGGGGGAGGGGGGAAGAAGGGAGAGACTCCTGGGTCCCTGGTTGGGGAGAACCCACTGCCCCAGCTGGGACACCTAGCACAGCCCTGTGAGTTGCCCAGTTCCTGGGCCCCGGGTGAGAGGCAGTTAACTCCCAGACCCATGGCTGTAAGGAGTCTGCCCCAGGCACACACCTGCCTGATCATCTTGGCTACTCTCTGTCTGAGGGTCCCATTCCTCAAACAGGACATAGAAGGCTACGGGATCCAGGTCATCCATCCCAGAGAAGGCCCCACCACCCACGCTGGCATGACTCTGGGGGTGGGGCACAGGGGTCAGCCCACTGCACATCTGGTTTCAACCTTGGCCAGGGGACTAGGCAGCCCACGGTGGTCAGACCTCAGGGGTTCCTAGGACACCAGAGGTCTCTACATCACAACAGCCACCATCACAATAGACCAGGGCAGAGCTGCTGGAAAAAGGAGCTACCAGCCTGGAGTCCAGCAGACTCAGAAAGGACCACTCCATTTCTCCAGAGGAAATGGCAGGTAACAGGGGAGTTCAAGGCAGACAGAACTAAGGAACTCCACAGACACTGCTTCCATCCAGACGCTTCCTCCCCCAATCTACTCACCCTCAACGTACAGTTGTGATAGCTCCCCATCTTCTCACCCCCCCAGGCTTCCTCTGGGCCTAAGCAGCCAGCTTCCCACCCCCTTCTCCTGATCTTAACCCTTATCACCCTAGTCCAGTGATGGGCAAACTGCGGCTTGCGAGCCACACGCGGCTCTTTGGCCCCTTGAGTGTGGCTCTTCCACAAAATACCGACTTCTGCGCATGGGCCACGAAGTTTCAATCGCACTGTACGTGCGCGCCTGCATGTGGTGTTTTGTGGAAGAGCCACACTGAAGGGGCCAAAGAGCTGCATGTGGCTCGCGAGCTGCAGTTTGCTGACCACTGCCCTAGTCTGTCCTTTTTTTTTTCCTTTTTTAAGAGAGAGGAAAGAGAAACATCGATTTATTCTTTCACTTATTTATGCCTTCATTGGCTGGTTGTTGTTATGTGCCCTGACCGGAGATCGAACCCACAACCTTGGAGTATTGGGACGATGCTCTAACCAACTGAGCTACCCAGCCGGGGCCTGTCTGTTTTTATCAATAAGCATGAATTATTCTTCTGGGGTAAGGAGGCATCCGTCCACTCATTCATTCAGCATTTATGAGTACTGCTGTGTGCTGGACATCGTTCCAGGTACCAGCAGTGCATGATGAAACAAAAACCCTGCACTGTGGAAACGCATGTTCTAAACCAGATATTTAGTATCTTAAACAAGATACTCAGTATCTGAAGAAAAATAAACAGAAAAGGGGGTGGGTAAAGAATTTTCTTGGTATGTGTGTGTGTGTGCCCGCGCAATTTCAAGTGGTGTGGTTAGAGAACTTATTAGGAAAGAAAGACTGGGAGGAAGAGCATTCTTGCAAATGCAACTGCTTGTGGGGGAAGGAGTGGGGGGGGGGGGACTTCAAGGAGGCCAGCGGGGCTGGAGCACAGAGAGCTGGGAGAAAGGAGGGAAGAAATGAGGAAAGAAAACGAACAAAGGCCCAAGTCACAAAGGTCATGGGAAGAACGGTGGCTTTTATTCTGCGTGGCGAGGAGAGCCACGGGACGGTTCCTAGCAGAGGAGAGGGGTGACCTGCCATGACCACTCTTATCCGCGTGGCATTTAGAAAGTGCTCCGACCGCGGTCTGAAACGGAATAAGAATTAGCCCGAAACTCCCCCACCTCTGGCAGTTCTGGGAGGGAACAATTTGAGGCTAGAAAAATGGAGGTGAGGCCTCCAAAGGTAGTAATAGGCGCACAGAACTTATCAGCTGGGGAGGAGCCCACCCTTCAGTCTAGTGCACACACACCGACCCACGAGGCCAGGAACCCGAGCACAGAGAGGTGCATTCACTGGTGCAAAGTCTGCAAAGCAGCAAAGACAAACAGTAAACACACGCACAGCCCCCCCTTCCCGGGAGGGCGGCACACACTTTCTGATGCACAGCCATCGCCCCCGTGAGGCGCCCGCGGTGACTCACGCCAGCCCGGCCCTCGGCGGCGGGCGTGGAGGCAGCGGAGGCAGCGGCGGCGCGAGCGCGGGTCGCGAAATGACAGGCGGCGGCGCGGGAGCCCACCCGGGAACCTGGGAGGACGCGCACCGCCCGCAGCTGACACCGACGCCAACAGGAAACGCCACTGCCCGCGGCGGCGTGCGGGGCGCCCCGGCCAGGCGAGCCAGGCGCCTCTCTAAGCCTCAGTGTCCCCACTGGTAAGGGGGGCCGGCACCCCACTCCCAGCCCCTCCGCGCTCGGCCATGGAAGGCGCAGGGGAGAACACGCTCAGGAGGCCCCACACCTTCCACGTCCAGTTCCAGGGACGCGCCACCCCCGCCCCGCACCCCATCCCCGGCAGGTGACGGGAAAGGAAGGGGACCCGACTCTACCGTAAACAGCCGGCGCCGCAGCGCGGGGAGACCCGAGCAGGCGCGAACTCCGCCGGGGCGAGGACGTAGGGTCCGGCAGCGCAGATCGGCGTCGCCGCCTCCGAGTCCAGCGGTCCCGATGCCCAGCCCGCCCGTCAGTTCTCGGGACGGTTCTCCCCACTCGCGTCTCGACACCACCTGCTCGCCGCACGGCGGAGGATGATGGCGGAGGAGGAGGATTTTGAAAGCCGGCAGTTTCTTTCCTTCGATTTGATTTGTTCGAGGCCCTGACGGCTTCCCCGGCCCCCGCGCGTGTGGCCTACGGGGAGTGGTAGTCCAGTTCTCCCGCTTGGGGCGCGGCAGAGAGCGGCCGCGAACTACCAATCCCGTGATGCAACGCGCCCAGAGCGCCGCCGCCGGCCCCTCTCCGCCCTCCCTTTTCAGCTTCTGGCTCTTTCTGCGGGAGACCACAGGGCGGCGTTTAGACGTGAGCGCCCCGGAAGACTACAATTCCCTTTATGCTTTGCGACCTAGCATCCCCGCCCTTCCGGAAAGGTGCAAACTCACTTAACAAAGCCGTAGAGCCGAAGGCACGCTGTTGGGTCAGTTCAGCAAGCGGTAGGTATTTCCTAAAAGGAAAGCCGCGCCGTTTTTTGTTTTTTTTTTTGTCCCATGAACTTAAAAGGATATTGGAAGCTTTCCATGTAAATAGCCACAAATTACTTGATAATTAAAAAGGAAAAACAGTAACCCTATGGTACAGAAACTCTGTGACACTACACTACCTTAACCCAAGTGGTCCACCTGACATTGATAACAGGACAAACTGGCATCCATCGTACACCTCCCGATGTGATGCACTGAGAACGCAGCATCACCATCCAGTGAGCAATGCATACAATTCATCTAATAACGAGGGAACATCAGACAATCCCAAACATGTTCCAGAATAACTAGTCTGTGCTCTTCCAAAAACCTTCTGTCGTGAAAAAGACAAAGGCCGAGGAATTGTTGCAGATTAAGGGAGGCTAAAAAACAGGTGACGGGGAAGGAAGGGGACCCGACTTTTCCCGTAAATGCAATACATGATCCTGTACTATAAAGGGTAATATTGAGCCCGGCTAGCATGGCTCAGTGGTTGAGAGTGGATCTATGAGCCAGGAGGTCACGACACATGCCCCGCCCCCCCTTGATCCCCAGTAGGGGCTCCAGTAGGGGGCGTGCAGGAGAGCCAATCCATTATTCTCTCTCATCACCATTCTCTCTCATCTCTCTCCCTCTCCCTTCCTCTCTGAAATCAATAAATAAAAATTTTTTTAAAGGTAATATTGAGATAATTAGCAGAAGTTGAAAAGGGAGGGCGAAGAGGGGACCAGCGGCAGCGCTCTGGGCATGTTGCATCACGGGACTGAAAGATAACAGTATTGTATCAACATTAAATTTATTGATTTTTATTACTGTACTGGGTTATGTAAGAGACTGCCCTTGTTCTTGGAAAATACATGCTGATATTATTAGGAGCATGAGGTCTGCAACTTACTCTCAAATGATTCAAGCATTCCTGTAAGTCTTCATGATGTAAAGCAAAGAAGCAATTACCATTAATTTATATGGGAACAATTTTAAGGGTTCCCAGACTCAAAAAATAACCTACCCAATCATATCAAATAACACATAAAATCTAAGCTAACACAAGCATAGAGTAAAAGCAAGAATGATGTGATATACGGCCTATATAAAGTAGAAATAACGTATGTACAGTGCAGTTTCACTTTCTACAGCACACTGTGTGTATAACAGCTCACTGCAAAACCCAAACGTAGCTCATCACAAACACTAACGCTATTTTTAGTTTTCGTCCATTTTCTGAAATCTTTCTGATTTCTTTCAGTTATGAAAAAGAGATAGTCATCCCTCAATATCCATGGTGGATGGGTTCCAGGACCCCACCAGAGTGCCAAAATCTGCAGATGCTCAAGTCCCTTATATAAAATAGTGTAGTGTTTGCATATAACCTAAGCACACCATCCTGTATACTTTAACCATCTCTAGATTACTTGTGATACCTAACCCAATGTAAATGCTGTGTAAACAGTTGCTGTACTATAGTGTTTAGGGACCAATGACAGGAAAGAAAGTCTACCTGTTTGGTACAGATGTAACCACTGTAAGGCCTAACTACATGGTACGACAGCATAACTTTTCCCCCCAAAATATTTCCAGCCCTGTTGATTGAACCTGAGGATGCAGAACCCACAGGGACAGTGGGCTGACACTACAGTATATGTCTTTCATAAAAAAGAATGGCATAGCAAGCTTTCAAAAACAGGGAGATATATATATATATATATATATATATATAGAGAGAGAGAGAGAGAGAGAGAGAGAGAGAGAGAGAGAGAGCGCAAATGTGGCAAAATGTTAACAGTAAATGAATATGAGAATTTTTGGATATTTTGGCTTTTCTGCAGGTGTGAATTTGCTAAAGTATCAATACACAAGTAGCTTTTCCTTTTTTCTTTTCATAGAAACTGTTTCAACCATTATATAAATAACACATGTTCATCATAATCACTTCAGCCAATATAAAACAGGATACAGGGAAAAGTAAACATTACCCAGAAGCTCTCGCACCCAGAGATAATCACCGTCAACACATGCAGCTGTCTTTTCCAAGGTTGCCTCTCACAGCTTGGCCCACACACATGCTTTTGCTCTACCTGCAGTTCGGTTACATACAGGGTGGGGCAAAAGTAGGTTCACAGTTTTAATAATACAAGAATAAACTGTTTTGTGTACTCACAACTGTAAACCTACTTTTACAAGCCAGATCCTTTCACACACAGTTAATTTAATCTTCATAACCACAAAGGAGGTGGACATCATTACCACCCTTCCCAGCTCAAAGGTGAGAAAATTGAAGCTCCAGCCCGGTTCACACAGCATGCGGGCTGTCTTTCTATCCTCTTTTTCATCCTTTGCCTACAAGGCTCATATCCAATGCCCGCTTGTTCAGGAGGCTTCCCTACACGCTCCAGCCAAGATGAGTCACTTTCCGCCGGCCCCCACAGCAAGCTGAAAACCCCCGCAGCACGTGGTCTGTGGGCTTTTTCACAGCCAGAGTTCATGGCGTCCTTGTCAGCTTCCTCCTCAACCTGGGGGCTCCTCTGGGGTAGGACTATTTCCGTCCTGGCAGCATCCTCTGGGGCCAGGCCTGTCACAGGTGCTTCAGGTTTCCTCGTTTGAATGGGATTCCAGTCAGAGTCACTGATGTTTCCTGAAAATGAATCAGCAGCCCTACCTGGTTTGGCTCAGTAGATGGAGCGTCGGCCTGTGGGCCGGAGGGTCCCGGGTTTGATTCCCGTCAAGGGCACGTACTTTGGTTGCAGGCTCCTCCCTGGCCTGGGCCCTGGTCGGGGCTCACACAGGAGGCAACGAATAAACGTGTTTCTCTCTGTCTCTCCCCACCTCTTCCAATCTCCCTAAAAGTCAATGGAAAAATATCCTGGGGTGAGGATTAAAAAAAATAATAATAAAATGAAGCATCATCTGAGAAGGCTGAGATGCTCCCAATTAGGCCTGATGGCATTCCCGTGCTGACTCCAGCTAGGATCGATCAAGTCTGAGGTTATCTTGGGGTGATCCCCAGGCTCCTTCCAGGTTACTTCCTGAGCCTTTCCAGGCCCTCAGACACATACCTCCCAAAGAGAAGAGGAAGATGGCAGTAGGTCATATTAGGCCATCTTCCCTTTCCTCATCCGGCTGATGGATCAGGGGTTTCAGAACTGGGGTGGGGGGGGGGTGGGGGGGCGGGTGTCTTAGCAGAAACTTTATGACCTTCAAGGGTCAGGGAGGTAATGGGAGTAACGGGGGTCAGTGAGGCTGGTGGAGAACTCGAGAGTAGGTGATCCGCTTGAAGATGTTCACATTCCGAGCTAAAAATCAGGAACCCAGCCTGACAGATTCTGTTTGCCATCCTGAATCTAGATTCTAGCTCAGACCCCTTTAAGATGGAGACTGGGGTTTAAAAATAAGAAGGAAAAGGGGTTTGCCTGAGGGTGTACAGTGAGTCAGAAGTGTCCAGAACCATCATGTTTCCAAGCAACCCATTTGTCATCTTCTCTCATTCCTTCCCTTTCTCCAACTCCCTCTCCTTTCTTACCACAGGAGAGCTGGTCTGTTTGCCTGGCTCTAGAAGTGGAACCATAGCCTTTGGCAGGCAGATAGAGCTATCTCAGCTACCCCTTTCCTCTTTAAAATAGATGAAGACCTGCAGCCCAGAGAGGTCAAGTAACCTGCCCAAGTTATACAGAAATTTAGACCAGAGACAGAAGCCGGATCTCTAGGCTTCAATCTACCCTCCCTGCCGCACCCCCACCCACCCACAGCACACACACACACACACACACACACACACACAAAACAAGTCATTTTGTGGGTGTGAGGTGGGAATAAGAGGAGGGGGAATGTTCCAGACCTTTCTCTGTTGTACAGTGTGTTTTGTTTTCTTTTTTAATGTTTTGAAGAGGAAAGCAGGCTGCCTCTGATGAGGTTTGGCTTATTTTAAACTGAGTGTTTTAAATTCCATTCTGGTGCCTGAAATCAAACTTAATTGCCAATTGTAAATGATATAAATAATATTTACCCTGGTTTCCTGAAGAGCTACCAAGGCTGCAGACTTGCCTTTTAGTCGTATCAAAAACAAATGCCGTAAGCATGCGAAACAGCGAGGAGGAATGTGGAGAGACATTCCTAAGATCCAAATGAGTGCTGCCCTTGGGCCTAGGGGAGAGATGTGTGGGCCCGGCCTACCCACACGCAGGGGAGCCTGCCCCTCATTCCCAGGGAACACCTCCTGGTCGGAGGGGGTCTCTACACAGTTTACAAAAGACAACTCAACCCACATTCCCCCCTGGGTGCAAGCCCAGGGCTCTCCATGAGAACATACTCTCTTTTTTTAACCTCGACAAACACCCATAATTAAAATAATTCATTAACTCTATTAATAGTTACCAAGCATCTACTCTGTGCCAGGCACTGTTCCAGCTCCTGAGCAGACAGTGATGAATGAAAAAGAAAAGGGTGGTGTGTGCAGAGGAGCTTAAATTCCAAACTAACATTTGTGAAGGGTTTTCTAGTACCAGATGCTTTGGGTAGATTATTTTCTCCTTTAATAAGTATCTTGTTCCAAAACAGCAATTTAAGAAAAAAAAAGAAAAAAACTGCTGGTAATTAAGAAAATTAGTATAAATGCATGAAGAAGAAAGTTAAAAATTATGTTTTTTTAAATTTTATATATATTTTAAAGGTTTGCATTTTTAAAAATATATATATTTTTATTGATTTCAGAGAGGAAGGGAGAGGGAAAGAGAGATAGAAACATAAATGATGAGAGAGAATCATTGATTGCCTGCCTCCTGCACGCCCCCTGCTAGGGATCGAGCCAGAAACCCAGGCATGTGCCCCTGACCGGAATGGAACCCAGGACCCTTCAGTCCGCAGGCCGACACTCTATCCCAGGGGTCCTCAAACTTTTTAAACAGGGGGCCAGTTCACTGTCCCTCAGACCGTTGGAGGGCCGGACTATAGTTTAAAAAAAAACTATGAACAAATTCCTATGCACACTGCACATATCTTATTTTGAAGTAAAAAAACAAAACGGGAACAAATACAATATTTGTATTTGCATGTGGCCCACGGGCCGTAGTTTGAGGACCCCTGCTCTATCCACTGAGCCAAACCAGCTGGGGCCTGTTTTGTTTTTAACATAAATGTTATGTGGATTGCTGGATGGATGGGTGAATAGAAGGATAAACATGTGACAGAGCAAATACAACAAAAGGTTCCCAATCGCAGCATAATCTAGGGCATTCGAATACAGTTCTCTCGACTTTCTGCATCCGCGAACACTTTTATAATAACACTAGAGGCCTGATGCACAAAGATTCGTGCAAGAATGGGACTTCCTTCCCCTGCCTGCCAGCACCGCCTTCGCTCCGGTCGGAGGTGCCTTTCCGCCTTCCCACACTGCCCAGAGGCCCGGAGGCTGGGGTGGTGAGGAACGCAAATTAACCTGCCATCTTTGTTGGGTTAATTTGCATACCCACTCCGGATTGGCTGGTGGGCACGAAGGTATGGTCAATTTGCATCTTTCTCTTTTATTAGTGTGGATGCGGGGGACAAATGTGACCACGTTTTATGGCCTGCATTTCATCCTCTGTATTACAGGCTGACCTCTAGGCTCGTGGGGCCTGCCCTCTCTTTTCTTAAGTCGCCTTTGAGAATCTGAATTCTATGGACTGTTTCCCAGAAGGATGTATTTCTTATTTATTTTCTCGTTAACCACACATTTATCAGTGCTTTGCATGCTTAATCCTCATAGTGACACTATCGGGGAAAGTACTCTTACTATCCCCAACCTAAGCCTGAAATTGTGCCTACATCCTCGGGGGCCTTCCCTAG